GAGAATGTGAAGAGATGATGAGATGAAAGAGTTGCGGCCAAAAGGACACATCCTTTAGCTTATACCAATTCCTCAACTCTAATAACTCTGGCTACCCAAGAAGCTTCTTATAGAGGAAATTTTTAAATTTTGTTGGTAAGCAAGCCACTTTCACATGGTAATCCGGACCAGCAGTTTCCAGTTTCCACCATTATTTAATGATCTCTTGATGGCTTTGTAGGCGGACTGATAAAACTTCAAATCGTTTGTTGAGGGTTTCCAATGGAACAAGAATAATTTGTTTCATTATATCAGTGGGAAGGTAATGATGAGATTTAACTTGTTGCTGTTCCATCCACCTGATGATCTAGTCTTGAAACTATTTGACGAAGAATGGCACCCGTTTTTGAACCACACAAGACGAGGTTTCAGAAGTGGAGAACATTTGTCAAACCAGTCAAAAACGAAACTTGGTTTCCACAAAACTATGAAATTTTCCAGATATTAGAGTTCTACCATTAATTAGCTAACCCCACTTGGTAGAATAAGACTTTCTTATTGTTGTTGTATTGGAACGCTGGACTGTGTGTAATATGCATATACTCTTGATTTGCAAATCATAGGGATGATTGGGTGTTGGCATTTATATTTATCGCACATAATTCTCACCCAATGCTTGTTGGGATTCATGATTAGCTCCCAGCAAAAAGTTTCATAATGCAGGCAATATGTTTTGACTTTTCTTTTTTAGGCTTTTCACTCCAAGACCTCCATCTTTTTTATGCTGTTTAACCCCATCTCAGGCTAAGAGGTGGGGCTTTTCAGATGGATCATTTGAAGAATTCTAAAGAAAATTAAATTTCTGCTTTTCTTTTCAAGTTTGTCTAGCACATTACTGGGCTAACAGCTTAGTTTGCATAGCATAACTTGAAAGAGGTGAAATTAAAGCATCGACTTTGTAATAATTTTTTCTATTTTGATTAACATGTCTAGTGCCTCAGTATTCGACAAAGATCAGTCTCAGTTTATCAATCCTATGCGGCTTAATTCCTCCGAATCCCATCTTCTTGGGCCCCTATTGATGAAGAGTTTATTAATTTGGGCCTTCAATATTATATTTCAGCTTCTGGTGACCATTGATTGTCCTTGCATATTTTATTGTTCTGTTTAGATAATGACGCTTTATCATTACAAATTAAGGAAGATATGCATGGGCACTGAAATACCAAAAATGGGAAAAGCTAGAGAAGGACCTTCGTCCTTAGCTGATCCATAAATAATTAGTGTGCGTGGATCAAAACGCCCCTCACTAACGTTGCAATTTTATAAACTCTAATCAGCTGCTCTGCACTAACTTGATCTAACAGTTACTTAAAACTATAAACTAGGTTAGAATTCTTTTTCTTTTAATATTTATTTGCATTTTTTTAAGGAAAAATTGTTGACAAATTTCTTGTTACAAAATTTATTGTCCAAAAATTTGTTCAAGACCCAAATGCTAACATATTTTCAGCGAATGTGACTCTTTTTATAACTATACACAACCTATCCTTACTTATTTGCAAAATAAAAGACATTCACATATATAGTTAAAGATATGCTGTACACAATCAAAGAAAAGTTATACTCATAGAAAGAATAGCCACTCCTTTGTTTTATATGTTGCAACCTATTCCCTCCTCTCCCGGTAGATTCTGGACGTTTTTTCTTCATCTGTCTCATAGTCGAGATCAGAGTAAAAGAGTTTATTGCGTGCTGGGTTGGACAAAAACATTGTTGTGTGTTCTTGGGGGGTTGGTTGTGTTCCACCAGATCAGGAAAAAATAAAGAAAATCACATAGGGCCCATATATCTAGCTAGAGATTAATGGTTGGGAATGAGCGGCTAAGTACATCATAATGAAAATAATAATGTGCTACTATTATTATACACATATTGATCAGAAACATGTAAATATAATTAGAACAGTGTAATTAATGATGAGAAATGAGAGATTGAGAGAGAAAAGCATTAATTGAGGGAGAAACATGCGGACCAGATCCAAGTAAAAGATGCAATAATGGTGGAGACATTTCATCCACGACTCAGTAACTTAACCAACCAGGAACAGTTCCTCAATTAAAATATTATTTTTCTCCTTATACTAATCACCAGTTAAAAGCAGGGGGAATATTAAAAAAATCAAACTGGTAGGCCCAAACCCCACTCCATTGCTCCTCCTTAAAGCTATGTATAATCAATTCATCCCCCAAAAGTGTCTCTTTAATAAATCATTTGTATATTACTTTCAAAGTTTTAGCTTGCGATTCATACAAGCAAATGTCACTTTCTTCTCTTCACATCAATAAATGGTGGTTCATTCGCACCCATCAATTCCATTCACTACCCTCTCATCTAACTATATAACATGTATATATATATGTACAAAACCCCACTTTGAATATTCTATAATCTCGATATTTAACATATGCCCTTATATGGAGCTAGCTAGCCAGTTCCATTCATATTTATATTCTTTAAGTCATCAACACGAGCCACCAAAAACTGCTTGTTTGTCGTACAAGTTGTGTCGTGTTTTCTTAAATTAGTAACCTTATAATTGTGTACACAAGTTGCGACAAAGCTTGTTATATACACACACACACACACGCCTTCCTTTCCAATCATTATCTCGAGACAAGGATCTGAAACCATCTTGTGATTTACTGATCTGTATGCGATCTGGATGACGATATTGAGATGGAGCATTTCTGAAAGTTCATTGCATGGTTTGCTTTAAGAGCCAATGTCATTGTGTAATAGCAACATGATCTCACCTCCATAACTAATAGGGCTTTTCCATGTACGCATCATTATGTTGATACACGATAGAAACACACTTTTAACCCAAGCCCAAGACGCTCCATCTCTTTCCCCTCATCATCTCTGACAATATTAACAACGTTATATATATAATCATTTTTATATTCATTAAAGCATGTTTTGGCGCAAATTAATGATCTGAGACTTTCTGCAGGTTATTCAGAGCTGTGTATATACCCAGCTTAATGGTTCATAGTCTGATGAGCATAATGGTTCATAAAATATGAGAAGAAGGGGACTGGAAAAGAAAATAGGAAAGCCACCCTGTACCTATTGAGGCGTTGTGAGTGTTTTAGGATATATGAAGTGATATGAAGTGGTCCAGGGAAGAAACTTACACATCTAATCATCTGATGAATCACAGTCTAATTGATTCATGCCCAATTCCACTTTAAGTCACCAAGTTGTCTTCTGCAGCTTGACATTAACATTGCAAGAGATTTAGATCGAGATCTTTCGTGTGATGAGCAGAAGGATATGTATATATAGTTATAAGTCCTCAAGGATTATAACTTAATTTGTGAAATCTACTGGTTGATATATACAGGTCATAATAAAGGGTTATTAACTTGAGCTGTTGTCAATCATGCTAATTATACACGTTATGCCGAGAAAACAAAGTGAAATTATTATTCCTTCTCTATGAATTAATTGGAGACACAATTAAGTCAAAATAATTGATAGGTAGTGTTTGCTTAAATCATAAAGCAACGGACACATTTTTTTCTTCCTCCTTTATCTTTGTCTTTCTCACACGTGTTATTTTTTTTCAGAAAAAGGATTCTCTTGCAAGCCATGAAATAAAATGAAGAACCTATAAATTAAAGAACTTAAAAACGACAATTATATTGCTTTTTAAGTGATGAAATACGTTATGCCACCGTCAGCCTGCTATTTCTCAGTAATCATATAACACAAAATTTTAGATCGTGATGTCACGGCCTGTTTAAACAAAGATATTATAAGTGAGCATGAAGCAAAATCTAGATTATTTATATATTTCACTGTCACTAGGTGTATATCCTAATAAAATTGCATTTATCTTGATCAAGAAGCTTCATATTAATCAACATACATGTCTTGTCTACCCAGAAAGAAGAAAACCCTTTTGATGGACTCCCCAGTATTCTAACATATACTTGATAACAATGTTTTCAAAGTTTGTGCTTTGGTAGACTTATACGGCGAAAGACTTTATCTTTATCGCTGTACCAATGAAGAAGTGAAGTTCGTATACGACCAAGTGAATTATTTTTCATCTCAAGGATAAAAAGGGGCCGCCTGCATGAAAAAATTTTAAGCTTAAGCAATGACGACAAGCTCAATATATATAAACGCACCAAAAGAGGGGAAAAGGACGAGTATATTTCTCCATCACAGTGCCAGAAATTAGAATAAGACGTTAATTATTAAAGGGTTTGAAAGTAGAACGTACAGTTTTGTTTTTCTTTGTATTTGTTTGAAACAGAATCTCAGTAATCATCAAACAAATGCCCACTACTGTTCATTAATTTGTCATTAGATAATCATCGGTTTTATTCCGCGACGTAAAAGAAATTCTGCGTACCGATGATTTAATGCACCAACCCTCCACCTGAATCTGCCAAAATTTACGGAGGCGACAACTATGTTACATCATATGTGGTGTTGATGTTGTTACAGTATATAATTAAGTACTGACTTAAATTGAGATAATCCCCAAATTGAGCCCATCACTTTCCCTGTGATCATTATATGCCACACACACACACACACATATGACGTTGCCGAATAGTGGCAGACAGAGAGAGAAGGAAGTGTATGAAACAACCGGCAATTAAATTTCTTTGGCGCACACATATAATCAAATTTAACCTAGCTAGTGTATTATAGTCCTTTTCGGGCCGCTTCTCTTATTGGGGAATTGGGTGTTTGGTTACGTAATACCACGCATGTACGTAGAAAACGGTAACACGAGCCACTAGGATATGAGAATAAAGTTGATGGAACGTCATTTTAGGGTTAGATGAATATCTGGGTCCCTTACATGGGCCCCATCAGGCTGTAAATGTCGGCTCAAGCTCTTATTGTACTTGGCCTCACTTTTAAAGGGGGTACAGAGAGAGACCTAACTATTGCATTCACCTCCCCAGCCCGCAGGCAGCAAAATTCCCACTTCATATATATAATCCAGGCAGCAAGGGAAGCTAGCTAGTTAATTATAGCTAGTGATCGAGAAGGGGAACGAGGAGGCACAGGCAAATAATGGGTCACCACTCTTGCTGCAATCAACAGAAGGTTAAGAGAGGGCTTTGGTCCCCTGAGGAAGATGAGAAACTCATCAGATACATTACCACCCATGGCTATGGCTGCTGGAGTGAAGTCCCCGAGAAAGCTGGTCATCATCTATATATATATATATATATATATATATATTAATTTCTCCTTCACTCTTTATCTTCTTATAATATATATACCAGTTAAGGAATAGTATAAGCACGTACGGACAAAATGTCTTAAATCTGTGTGGCTTTCAGGGCTGCAACGGTGCGGTAAGAGTTGTCGCCTGAGGTGGATTAATTATTTGAGGCCTGATATTAGAAGAGGCAGGTTTACTCCAGAAGAGGAGAAGTTAATTATAAGCCTTCATGGGGTCGTAGGCAACAGGTTTGAATCACTCTCTCCAACCTCAATAATTAATGTCTTATGTATAAACTATTTCATTGTTTGCCTCTGATATCAGTACTGTCTTCTGGAATTCTACCTTAATGTGGCTACACCTGGGATGTTTCTGAGTCAAATTTCTAGCTAGCTTTATGTTTTTCTCCTACTAAAATTCCCCACTGTTAACAATTCAACATATGATGCCTGGGTTTTGGTCAATCGTTTGATCACTCTATAACTGAGTTTTAGTTGGGAATTAATGGACCATGTGGTTTTGTCTGTTCTATAAATGGGCCTCTAACTTAACTGAATGTAGAGCAATTTAAGGAAGCTGTTTTTGTTGCTATAGTCTCTCAGCTACAGTTAAGGAGAAGTTAAGCAGGCAATTTCGTCAGTTAAAATTGACTTGTCCCACTTGAACTGTGTGCACATATATTAATTTAGTTCATGTATGTTAACTCTCCGCCTTTCTTCTTCGTAGCATTCTTATGATTAATTAGTACAGATTTTTTTTAAAGAAATCTTTTATTTGATGTTTCTTTAAGCAACTAAATTATTATTTTTCCTGCATCACATCTTGCCACGTTTTTGCCGACACAAACGCTTCCAAATTACGAAATATGAAAACCATCTATATATATATATATAAATATATAACATATTCATATAGACACACAATGGAATGCTTGATATATGTTTGGGAAATGCAGGTGGGCTCACATTGCAAGCCACTTGCCTGGAAGAACAGACAATGAGATAAAGAACTATTGGAATTCGTGGATCAAAAAGAAAATAAGAAAGCCTTCATCAGTTTCTTCAAACACAAGTGCACAAACTAGCGGTGATCATCATCATCATCATCCTCAGTATAACTTCAATAATCCCAATCAATTAGACTTTGGGAACCAAGATAACCTAACAACAAAACCACCACCAGTTCATCAAGACACTATATTTTCTTCCACATGCCCCTTATTTATGTTTGACACTAGCTCTTTAGATGGTTCTGCAACAACAACGACAATACTGGACAACCATAATGCAAGACCAGAAATGTTAATCCATCATCATCAGCAAGATGCTACTATGGGTTTAGGCACAGAAACTTGGAATCTGAGCCACCATCAAATTCAAGCCTTTCCTCCGCCTTCGTCAGCTTCTTTCACGGCGGCTTCTTCAGGCATGGTCTCTTGTAATTACCTGCCGCCATTGATAGAGAATGTGGATAACATGGTGCCGCATAATATTCATGAAGTGCAATCTTGCAGTATAGATGAAGAAGGAGAAATGGCATTAGAGTGCTTGCAGAGGCAAGAATTGAACGAGTGGGTGGACACACAGCAACAATGTCCCAACTTTATTTTCTGGGAAAATGTGGAAGGACAACTTGGTGGGGAAGAAATAGTACCAAATTCGTCAAATTTGGGAACCACACTTTCTTCTTTTCCTTCGTCGTTATGATTGTGAACATGACTGTTTCTCTAACTAGGAAGAGTTTTCAACGGGGGTGATACTGAAGGGCCAGCTGGGGTTTCTGAATCTGGGAAAATCGACGAGGTTGCTTTTTTTTCTTTTCTTTTCTTTGGATTTGTTGTTTTCTTTTTCCCCTATTGAGTTCTGATTCGAGAGATTTGTGAAAAAGTGAGTGATGAAAGTAACAAGTTATATATATAACAATGCCGTGCGTGAAGTAGTGTTTATGGGTTGTTTGTAAATGCATGGAAGAGGGAAATTAATAAAGGCGACTGCGGCAAGCAGCAACGTTTGGTTTTTGAAGATAAAAACACACATGCACCGTTTTAACATATATTTAATCTTGGTGTTTACTACTGTTTCATTGCATGTATGTGGTGGTTATGAATGACAAATTGATAATAATGGGTTAATTTATTGACCCTCTACCATTTTTATCTTTTCGCTTTTTATGATGCTAGTGTAATTTGTTCAATAATACTTTGTTTGCCCTCAAACTATTGGTTAAGGTGGTAAACAATCTCATCCTGTATGAAGGAAAAGACAAGTTTAAATTCTGAGAAGTACACTTGTTGGAAGAGGTAAAAATCTTTTACACCGGAGAACTCTTATCAAATAAAAGAAAATGCTAGTATAAATTGTTCAGTAATATTTTGCTTTAGCACAAGTGTTTCGCCTATCCAACAACAGAAAGCTACATCTTAGCCAGTTACTCTTCCGGTCCTAAATGTAAGACCTTTATACTAGTATGTATAAGGGTCTTGTATTTAGAACCGAAAGAGTATTAACTTGATTTAAGGGTCACATGCACAATTGTGTTACAAAATTTGTTGAGAGAGTTACGTGTGTCATTAGTGCTACTCAATTTAGCATCAAAGTGAGAGTCCAATAATAAAACTTTTGGATTTCAAGCGGTTTGATAAAATACCTATTTTTTATGGGTTGGAAAGCATGGCACTTCAAAATTATTAATAATTTTTAAAAAATTTGTACAATGTCAAATGAATGAAGTAAAAAAAATTATGTATTAGGTATCATTATATTCATACGTGAGAAATTGTCTATATGTCATTCATATTTAATTTATTAATTTATCTTCTTATTAATATATATATGTGACGTTAAAATTAGTTGCCAATATACCTTCGTAATATTAGTAATAAAGAAACAAGATAAAAAATAATTTAAATATATGGTACTAGATAAGGGAAATAATTGACATTACAAAAAAACATGCTTTTAGTGACAAAATTTAATGACAGAATTTTTTAATTAGCGACGGATTATGAGTTTCATAGAGAAGCCTTACATGCAGAGTGTATTAGTGTGATTTATAAATTCAAGAGGATATTTTCCACCCAACATGTTGTGGTCTTTTAGAATTGTGTTCTTCCATATATTTCACTCTGTAATCATACGTGGCACATCTTCCGTTAAAAGTGTGTATTGTCATTCAATAATCTTATTTAAGACTAATTTAAGCTAATCCTACTTACTTATAATTCAATAATTACATTACATAGTGCATAACTAAATGAGGCGCCTCATAAAATTTTTACTAATCTTTATAATTTGCATAAGAGAGAGGAATTGTGGTTTATTTTTCACTTGTCACTTTAAACAAATGCTATTCTTTTCTTTTACTTTTTGGGAACAAGTAATTATCCGTACATTTAAACGAAGTTTTGAAATAAAACTTACTTAAAACACTCATTTAAAGGAGAATCAGAATAAAAATTCTTTTTTTTTTTTGGCTAACCAGAATAGAAGTTAATTATATTCGATACGTAGGAGCATAGCCCTCACATCCCCAGACATAAAAAAACTAAATAAACGAGGTTCGTGTCTTCCTATTTTAAATGCGAATTTAAAAAAGATGGTGGAATAATAAAAAAAGGTCTCATAAAAAATTTACTGATCTCGTTGATTCGTGTAACACTATAAGGATCAAGGGGAAGGAATTGAAAGAATGACAGTTAAGATCCCAAATGATCAATTAATTACAGTTAACTTTCTGAAAAAAAATATTTAAAGAATAAATTGTAAATTGTTATGAAATAAATGGTAAAATATAGAAGAGAAGCAGAGATTAAAGAACAGAGAAGCACGAGACCTTCTTATTCCATTCAAAGATACTGAACATATGATAGATACTTTTTGCTTATAAGCATAACTTTATATCTTCAATAAAATCTACAGATTCTATAATAATAGAAAATAATTGTGGATAATAGGAGATATTGAAAATAATAAAAGATAAGAAAGATAATGATATATATATAAATCCATAAAGATATTATATGAAAACATAAATATCATTCTTGGCCCGTTGGCCGCAGTGTATTTTTTTAATTTAAAAGTGTGTTTAGTACCCTTAAAAAGATATTAACAAAAAGTTTTGTAAAATCATTTTCAAAAAGTCCACTGTTATGGTTATTTTTCTTCCCCATAGAGCTTTCTCCGACATTTTGTTGGACTGAAGAATTTTATCATGTCAGAAACACAAAAAATCATGCATTTGCTTAACCTATCTTGGGCTAGATAGGCCCAACATGTTGATGGAGGAAGAAACAAGGGCCCAACATGAAACCCAATATGAAAAGCCCACGCGAGACGATTTTGTTTAGAAGAGGGAAAAAAATGTTATAAAGGCGTCGGGAGTTCGGATTAGGGTTTTCTCATACCTGGACGGAGTGTTAAAGCAGGGGAAAAGAAAATTTGCAGTCTCCTTGCCGCCTTCGCTCACACTTCCGCCTTGAAACCATGGTGTGCTGTCTTTCTCGTTTTGCTTTCTATTTCTTTCTGAGAGAAAAGTGTTTGTTTTAACGATGTAATTTGATAGCTTGTCAATTCGGTCTTATTTGTTCCTATTATTCTTCTTTTCCAGATTATTCCTGAGAAGAACCGTCGTGAGATCTGCAAATACCTCTTCAAAGGTTCTGTAATCTCGCCCTGTTGGATTTTCTATTTTGAATTCTTTCATGTAGAATCATACGTGTTGATGTGATTTTGGTTTGTGATTCCTTCAGAGGGAGTTTGCTATGCAAAGAAGGACTTCAATATGCCTAAGCACCCGGAGATTGATGTGCCTAATCTACAAGTGATTAAGCTGATGCAGAGCTTTAAGTCCAAGGAGTACGTGCGTGAGACATTTGCTTGGATGCACTACTACTGGTACCTCACTAACGATGGCATTGAGTTCCTTAGAACTTACCTCAATCTTCCTTCCGAAATCGTACCTGCTACTTTGAAGAAACAAGCTAAGCCAGCTGGTAGACCATTTGGCGGCCCACCTGGTGACCGTCCAAGGTATGTTACATTGGCTAAGATTGCAATGTCATGCTTCGCTCTAAGACGGCCGCAATTTAGGGTCTTTTTAGTCACTTGTCTAAGCATGCCAATGTTCTGCAAATTTGGTTTATCATATTTCTAGTTGATTATAATACGTCTCTGACGATCTGATTGTTCCATTATCGATATGGATGATTTTGAGCAGGGGTCCACCTCGCTTTGAAGGAGAACGTAGGTTTGGGGACCGTGATGGATACCGTGGAGGTCCCCGAGGACCCGGTGGTGACTTTGGAGACAAGGGTGGAGCTCCTGCTGACTACAGGCCTTCATTCGGGGTAATGTTACTGCAGTTACAATTCTAAAATTTGCTATGGAAATCGTGTTCGTTAATTTCGATGCATATATGTTGGAATGGTCTGCTTGGGTAACCCCTGGGCATGTTGGCTGTGAATCATTCCATGTTTTTATATGCAGCTGATGTTTATACGAGCGTGATCATTGATATCTGATGTGTTATTTATGCTTGAACATGTGGAGATTTATAGTATGCATGTTTCAATATCTAAATAAAATAAATCCGTCGTCAAAGTCTAATGCTGAAAGTGTAGTGTTTGGTACTGGCTGTTAGTTTTGGTCATCCCTATTTCACAAATATATCTTTCCTGTGAATCCCATCTATGATCATGCAAATTTACTTGTTTATCGTAGTGATAAGCTTGATTTATGTACAATACTGTATATGATTTGCTGTGGAAACCATTCATATAGATCCCTTGCATCCAAATCTTTTTAAGAGATCAATTGTTTTTTTGGGTATAAATTGGCAGTATATTGCCATGGACCAAAATTTCTATGTTGAGTATAAAATTTGGGCATTCCCTTCACAGATTTCTCCTCATGATTTGTGTTTACATGCGTAGGACATTTTTGCTAGTTGGTGGTTCCTATATTATCATTCCTGATTTTATTTTCATATCCTGAGCCATTTCTTATCATTTGAATATAACTGCAGGGTTCTGGAGGAAGGCCTGGATTCGGTCGTGGTGCTGGTGGTTTTGGAGCACCAACAAGCTCAAATCTTTCATAATTGTAGTGATTTGTGTTACCATTTCTGCAGTTAAATGTCAAGACAAGTATGTATGTCGTTTTAGTCAAGGCGCTATGCTTGATACCCCTCCATTCGTTTTTGTCTTTATAATCAGCAGTGCTATGAAGTTTTGGATTTTGAGTGTTTTTTGTGACAGTTTATGCATCAGTTGTTCAAATATCAACTTGCTCTGCTTTTGAATTTATTCCTCTTGAAATTACTTGTGTCCGCCCAGCATTGGTTGAACTGGATAACCAAATGTATGATATCACGCGACTCCGCCATATCACCAATAGATGTGGAGTATACCGCGTGAAATTAATCAAATTATCCATTCCTCTGGCCAAGCTTAATATTACTCTGGCTATAAATGTAGGATGATTAAAATTTTGATCTTAAGTGCAGGTCATAGTATATAAAGTAAATGTATGGAGGATTTTATTTCGTTTTATAGAAAAGTATTTTTACATATTACCAAACGCCCGAAACAAAATACCCAAGCCTTATGGGAATGAGGATGACACGCGGCATCAATTTTAGTCGCCTTACATCTGGAGGCTTCCATTTAAGCGGTGAAGATGGGATTATCGGCAAAAGCTTTACTTAATTCTGGTTCTAATCCCATAATTGCCATCTAGGCACATCCAGAATTCGATAATAGCCAACTCTGCTTTAATTTAACATGTACATACATGAATTCGTTCCCTCCAAATTTGCCAGTAAATCGTTGCAACCTTCACCACACTGAAATCGTCTAGTTTGCACAAAGCAGACCGCTCTTATTATTATAATGATATTGTTTTGGCCAAAAGGGCAGAGACTTGAGGCCCGTTTGTGTGTCCCCAGAAGTCCAGAACCATGGTTTGGGAAGCAAAACTATAGTTTGGGTGGGATATCATCCAGACAACATCAATTTTAGAGAAATAATCTAAAATCATGGTTTGGGCCAAAATCATAGTTTTAGGAGAAGTGAATTAATTCTGCTTCTGACTCAAATTGGGGAATATGATTGTACCTATCAGAGTAGATTTCAACAATAATATGACTTTAACATCCCTCAATTATTTTTTTTATAAACATATTTAATCTTATATCTTATAAATATATATACACATTAATTATTTATTAATTACATCATCTTATGTATTATTATGTTAGTAAAAAAATATATTATTAACAATTTTATTCCTTCAAATTAAAATATATCATAAAATCTATCTTTTATATAATTATTTTACTCATTTGTATATATAAAAAGTGCTTCTAATAACAATTATCCAAATACTCTCATTTTTCAGAATTACTTCTTCACAAAATCTATTCTTCGCAATGATTTCACAATGATTGGTTTTTAAACTCTTTGGCGGATGTTTAATGATGAGAAAGGCAAATACTTAATCGGGAATTAACACTGGAAAATTAGCACATACAACACAACCTAATGACTCAGCCATTCATCGTTTCATACCAAATCCTCAAGGATTAAGAAACAAGCCACCAATAACCGACGGATGTCACACATTTAACAGCAAAATATAAATACCCGACTTTTTACTAGTTACTATAACAACCTAGAAATATGCAACTAAAGACCATGTATCGTCTTCTATTTACACCCCACCTGCACAGCCCAAAACCATATATTATGCAACTCCGCTTCACAGTACTGTTCTGTGATGGTGTAAGCAAAGAGGGGTTTAATCCACCTCCTCCATTTTGCTCTCCTCGTTTCCTTCTTCCAGGGATGGCATGTCAACGTCTTCATCTGCCGTCACATCCTCGTCGATGTTCAAACCCAGCTTCAACATCCTGTGGATCCTCGCCGCAAAAGTGTTTGGATCGTCCAGACTGAAACCCGACGTCAAAAGTGCAGTCTCGTAGAGCAGCAACACCAAGTCTTTAACTGATTTGTCACTCCTGTCAGCCTCAGCCCTCTTCCTCAATTCCTCCATAATGCCGTTGTCTGGGTTGATTTCCATTGTCTTCTTGCTTGACATGTAAGAGCTCATGCTGCTATCCCTCAGAGCCTGGGCTTTCATAATCCTCTCCATGTTCGCGGTCCATCCATACTCACCAGTCACCAAGCAACAGGGAGAGTCCACAATTCTGTCTGACACTACCACTTTCTCCACCTTGTCCCCAAGTATCTCCTTTATTGTCTTGCAAAGGTTCTCGAATGACTTCTTCTTTTCTTCCCTCTTCTTCTTCTCTTCGTCGGTTTCATCCTCCAACTTAAGCCCTTCCTTTGTCGCAGACACTAGTTTCTTTCCGTCATACTCCTTTAGCTGGGTAACTGCATATTCATCAATCGCATCCACCATGAAGAGCACTTCATAGCCTCTCTTCTTGAGCCTTTCCAAGAATGGGGAGTTCTCCACTGCCTTCTTGCTTTCACCAGTGATGTAGTATATCTCTTTCTGTCCTTCCCTCATCCTTGTCACATAGTCCTTCAAACTTGTCATCTCATCACCACTCTTGGTTGAATGGTACCTGAGCAAGTCAGCTAGTTTGGCTCTGTTCTGGCTGTCTTCGTGAATACCCAATTTAATGTTCTTGGAAAATGCGTCATAGAATTTGTTGTAATCCTCCTTATTCTCAGCAATCTCAAAGAACATTTCAATGCACTTCTTCACCAAGTTTTCCTAATCACTTTCAGAATCTTGTTCTGCTGCAGCATCTCACGAGAGATGTTTAGTGGAAGATCATCAGAGTCCACAACACCCTTCACAAATCCAAGGTACTCTGGAATGAGCTCCTCACAGTTGTCCATGATAAACACCCTCCGCACGTACAGCTTGATGTTGTTCAGCTTCTTTCTAGTGTCAAAGAGATCGAAGGGCGCCCTCCTAGGAACAAAGAGAATGGCCTTGAACTCTAGCTGCCCTTCAACAGAGAAGTGCTTCACGGCGAGATGGTCCTCCCAATCATTGGTGAGACTCTTGTAGAAGGCTGCATACTCCTCTCTAGTTACTTCCTCGGGTTTCCGGAGCCATATAGGTCTCTGCTTGTTAATTTGTTGCCATTCGTGGGTCACTTCTTTCACCTTCTTCTTTTTAGGCTTCTTTTCTTTGTCCTCATCCACATCCTCCACATCTCCTTCCTCTTCCTTCTTGGTTTCTTCTTCCTCCTCGTCACTCACCTCTTTCTCAGTCGTCTTCTCCGTCCACAGATAGATGGGGTAGCTAATAAACTCAGAGTGCTTCTTCACCAAATCCTTTATTCTCCTCTCCTCCAGGTACTCCAACTGTGTACGTTCCCCCCAAAACGAAAACAATGCACTTAATCAGCGATCTGAATTATCATAATCAGGCCTTAGAATATAGACAAAATCCATTTATTAATAACAGTACCTGATCGTCCTTGAGGAAGAGAGTTATCTTGGTTCCTCTGCCCAAAGGTTCCCCGTTGACATCTCTTGTAACGGTAAAGGAGCCACCGGCTTGAGACTCCCAAATATATTGTTCATCGTCGTTGTGTTTGGTTGTAACAATCACCTTCTCGGCCACAAGATAAGCAGAGTAAAAACCGACACCGAATTGGCCAATCATGCTCACATCCGCCCCGGCCTGAAGTGCCTCCATAAATTCTTTAGTCCCAGACCTCGCGATAGTCCCCAGATTATTCACCAACTCTGCCGCACAATATAGCAAACATGTAAATGATTAAGCTGATCAAAACTGGTGACCATCGCTGAGGGGGGGAAAAAAACCGAAGAAAGAAAGAAAGAATTTAGCGAAATAACAACTATACCTGCTTTGGTCATGCCGGCTCCACTGTCAATGACGGAGAGGGTCTTAGTGACCTTGTCCGGGACAATCCTGATGAAAAGTTCAGGCTGAGCATCAAGCTTGCTCTTATCCGTGAGGCTCTCGAATCGAATTTTGTCAAGTGCCTGCGTGTAACCAATTTCAAAATCAGTAACTTAAGCTTTTGCTTGGGAAAAAAATAGCAACTTAAAAACACAAAGAAATCATGATCGGATTGAATATAGAAGTAAGAAAGAGGCTTACATCAGAAGCATTGCTGATAAGCTCACGAAGGAAAATCTCCTTGTTACTGTAGAAGGTATTAATGATCAAGCTGAGAAGTTGGTTGATCTCAGCCTGGAACGCGAAGGTCTCTGTTTCTCCCATATGCACGTCAGCCATCGGAATACAGGACACAAAGCAAATTCAGAGGCGAAGAGCTCAGTGAGCAGTCAATCAAGACGACACACCAACAAATTCTCCCAGAGCAGTGCAATTATCAGTGGGTTATATTTATACTAAGCCAGAGAGGTTTTTTTTGGAGGGGGAAATAAATTGGATGATGGTTCTGGCTTCTTCACTATTTTATGGAATTTCCAGGCGAAGCTAGTAACTGCACCAAATTTCGCGGGTTCTAGAGTTTTCAATTGCGATATTCCTATTGGCCCATGAAAAAATTGCGATATTCCTTTGTTGTCCTTGAATCCAGAATTTTCTGGGACTTGTGATTAATTGATTATGATCTTTGACGGGACCCTGGGCTTGAAACTCCTCATTCGTACTATTATGGGCTTGCTCCCATACCTGTTCTTAATTTGTGGCCCATTTTTTGGGGCCAAGACCCTTCTTAGATGGATATTGGACCATGTAATGGGCCCAATAGAGTCCAACACTTTTCTATGAACTTTCAGAACCAAAATAATGGGCTTACATCACAAATCGATTGACGTTCAGGATTTAAAAAATGATCCATACAAATTCCCCAATTTTACTTTACTGTCCTTGGGCCCTGGCCCTCTTAATTATTAAAAAAAAAATCCTCCAGTTAAAGAATTGACTGACGAGAAACTCAAGCGTGAAATTCTTTTTTAATCATGAAATTAATTTTTTGTTTGTCAGAATTACTGCTTCTGTTTTCCAAAGTGATAATAGGATGTTTTGGATGTTGCAGTAATATTTCCCATTAGAGAATTTTCTTATAAAATAAGAAAAAATTAAGTTATGATTTTTTGTTGTTGAAAGAAGTCCAATGTTTAGGATGCATTAACCTATGTCAGGGTATCATGGTTTGATAGCACTAACAAGCACCTCTCTTATGTCTATTTTAAGAGTAAGATTGTGAGTTTGAACTCGGTGGATGATATGATAGGCGCAAGTTATAACAAAAAGTACTTGTTAACTAATAAACAAGCTTATAAATTTTAAGTGTCATTCTTGTGCTGCCTAGACTCTAATCCGAATTCTGAAACAAATG